AGGTTAGCTTTATGAGATGATCCCAGTTGTGCAAATTCATTAAGGTGAAGTTCCAATAGGACGAGTCACAGGGGAGGGCACAATGACCATTCAATGAAGCATTAAGCACCTCTCCAGAGGGCATTACAAAAGATTATGAACCAGTTTGGCAAGCAGTGGGCCTGAGATAAGGCCAAGAGCTTGCTACCTGCCAAACCAGTTTATAATCTCTGGTAATGCTCTCTCCAGAGGGTCTCATGGCTGCCATGTGCCATCAAAGAGCTGTTCTACATTTGCTCGGTGTTTTGGATTCCAGGTTTTTGCCCATCGTTCAGTCAGATGAGCCCAGCTCATTTATCTTCATTTCTGTACTCTGTTACTCCTCCACGATGCAGTCATTTTCTGTGCTGTGGATTTTGGCTGGAAGTCTGGGCCCAGCATCCAAGATATGAGCAGATGCATTTTTGCTCTTGTCAGGTTATATTCCTTTTTCTTACAGTAACTTCTACAGTGACAGTGCAGTTTTCTTCTTCTCTCTACCCTGAAACCCAGGAAGGCGATAATGACAGCCGGGCACTAAGCCTCTCAGCATTTTACTTTGGTCTTTTGTTCCAGAAGAGGACTTAGCATGGTGCAGTGACAACAGAGAGGAGGTGATTATTATTTGAAGACTGGCAGTGGGCTCAATGCGGGCACAGCTAAGAGAAGAGATGAATCCTGCCCTCAAGTAGGGTTACCATACATCTAGGTTTTTCCAGATGTGTCTTCTTTTTGGATCCTCTGATCTCCACCTGGGTGTTTTTTTTTAAATATGATCAAATATCCGGGATTTTGATCAGCTCAACTTCGAAGTTTTTCCTGGTACTTCCTGGCTGTCCTAGCAAGGAGCTGTTTGGGGTTGGTGGGGAGGGTGACTGGAGGCAGTGTTCGCACACATGTGGTTGGCATGCAGGCAGGCAGGATGGTGGGAGCAGCCCCAGCAGCTGGATGCAGGTAAGTCTGTGGGGGGCAGGGGTTGGAGAGCCAGGGCTTCGGGACTATCTGGAGGACTGGGGGGAGAGTGCATGCATGTGCATGTGTGCTTATGCATGCATGTGCGTGCATGCGCACGTGTGTGCATGCGCGCACGTGTGCGGACAGGTGCCTGCCAGCGCTGGAGGAAGCTGTCCGGGTGCTGGGGCTGCAGCAGTGCCTGCCCCTCCAGTAGAGGAAGGGATTGAGAGGTGCCCTTTGGGGCAGCAGGGAGCTGCATAGCCAGGCCGGTGCCTGTGCTCGCAGGGATGATACAGCTGGGAGATGCTGTGAGGCTGGAGGGAACAGGGGGCTGATGGCTGGGAGCTGAGCGCTGGTGGTGCCGTTGGGAGTGAGGGGCACTGGAGGGGGCAGGGGGAGACTGCGGGTCAGGAGTCCAGGGCACTAGCAGTGCCAGGGGGGCTGCGGGTTGGGAATGAGGGGCACCAGGATGGCCCAGGGCGAGTGGGGTACTGTGGTTTAGGAGTGAAGGGCATTGGTGGGGCTGGGGGGGCTGTGGTTTAGGAGTGAGGGGCAACAGAATGGGCAGGGGCAGGGCACTGGCATATCACTGCCCCTCCCCCCTCCATGTGACAGGTGTCCTCTTTTTGGAACTGGAAATATGGTAACCCTGCCTCAAGGATCACTCAACTGAAATGCAAGATTTTGGTCCCTGGTGAGGCGAGGAAAAGTCACATTATTCATGGTGTTGGTTTGGTAAAATTCCTCCTCCAGGACCCTGGCTAATGCAGATGACATGGTGTGTCATTACGCCATGCTCAGCTAGTACATTGGGGTGGTCCAGTCTGCAAGTTTCCCTTTCCAAAAATCCAGGTTAGCACTTTCCAAAGAACTTGGCGCTGGCCCCACTATACTCCTATTGCCCCCACTGGTAAAGCTCTCAGTGGCGGCATCTATATGAGATGCTGACTGCATAGTCATTACTGCATAGTTGTATAAACAAGTACTAAATGACCGGAGTTACTGTGCAGGTGCGCCGAGAAACAGCTTTTTTGTGACGCCGACTGAGCAGTAGCTTATGACTACTGTGCAGTAGTGATGCGTCACACTTCCTGCCACACGATGCTACTGCATCTTGTGTAGACGCAGCCAATGAGTTCAGGAGCTCAGGAAGCAAGGATTATTCTCTCCAGTGAGATTATGGATTCTTTCATGCAGCCAACCCACAGACCCAACAAGGCTGTCTGCTTAAGATAGACTAGCTAAATGCAAAAGTCGAGTAAGAAAGCAAATAGTTCCTACAGATCTTTGAAAAACCTAAACACCTGTGCTATGGTTTGTATTTCAGACCAGTAGCTCAGATCCTCAAAGGTGTTTTTAGGTGCTTAATGCCTATTGATCTTAATGGCAATTATGGACCTAAGTACACATGGATTCCTAAATTCCTTTGAGGATCTTGGCCCAAGCCCTCTGCATAGAAAGGAACCGTAATAGAAATACAAGTTTCTTTTCCAGATTTCTGAGCACTAATCAATTTTGCACTAGTCCTTGTTTGCAGTGGTCCATAATAACACGTCCGCAGAGAAAAAGTCAATGAAACTATTTCCTCCTTTTAAAGCACAGAATCAATGTTTACACAGCTGAGCTAAATTATTTATACATATAATGTTACAGGTTTCACATCAGTGGTTTTTATTAGCATTCAGCAGATAAGAAATCATACCTGACCTACTTGTAAAAAAAATAATCTGGGATCTCTCTCCAATGCTACAGCATACACTGGTGACAGGTGAAGGGGCTAATATAGTCTGTCACTTTCTAGCTACACGGAGAAAAATCCCTCAGTGAAACCATAAAAATCAGAGCCAGGCTATTGCTGAAGATGCTTCCAAGCCACCATTTAGTTGTTTTGGGAGCACTTAGCACAATTAAACTTTGTTTGAACAGATGTTTGGACACCAGGTCCCCACTGTGTCCATTGCTCGTGATAACCAGGGATAGAGTATAAAAAGCACTAGGTCCCCCTTGTTACAAGCTTCAAATTGGCTTGCTCAGGAGAGTTTCATGATGGAGGGGTGTGTGGGGGGGTGGGCAGTATCACCAACGGCCATCTGCTGATTGACAGTCTTACCTTTGTTCTGGTAAGCAAGTGATGCTCTTTCTTGCTAGGTCCAGGTCTATGGCAGCGATAACATCGCCACCAATTAATTCTCCTTTTTAATCTTTTCCTTGCATATATTTCACAGCACTCTCAAAAAGAAGGTAAATAGCTATCCACCTTGCAGAGAAAGGAAACTATGGATGCATCACTTTGTAGCTAATGGCAGAACTAGAGGCCAAATGAAAGTATTGCTGAACCCAAGGCAGGGATTTGTCCAAGAGACACTGCCATTTAATGTCAAACATGAAAAAAAAATCCTTGTCCAACATGCAATGGACACACTCAGGGAAATTTCTGAGTAACAATAACAAGAGTCATAATATTGCTCCCTCTCTAAAAATGTATACTATTTTCTTCTCCTGCCTTCAACCTTAGCTACTGTGCACCGGCAAGCTGCAGATCCCTAGTGCTCTAGCTTGGCTTCAACGCAGTTTTTCCTAATGTCTCCAAGGCTCAACCAGCTATTGCGTCTAAACCAATGTGTCAAAGGCACTTACACGTCAGATAGGTTTCTTTTTGTCTTGCAATTAATGCATTTTTTATAAAGCCCAGGCTCTGGTTTCCTTTCATGTTACAGGGAGGATATCCTTTTCCTGTTAAGCTGCAGAAGGATTTTTCCCCCAAAGCAATGATCTCTTGTGTCCTGTAAATAGGTTAGATGAACATATTATCTAAACGACCTGGCATTAGTCACTGAAGCTTTCATTGTAGCGCGTGTGGAGAAGCCAGTTACTTTGCCAGAGCTTATACAGCTGTTTCAACTGTGTGAAATGGCAGCCCTACAATAATATTTGCTATTTATTCTGCAGAAACACTGGACTGGAAGAGTCATCAAGTCCAGTTCCCTGTGATCTCAGGAGGCCGTGTAATAAAGCAAAGATAAGATGTGCTGTGGATTGGTTTTCGTTACCGTCACACTCGCACTTGTCATGTTTCTGTAAATGCATTTTTACATTCACCACCACAGATAATTTCATGTTGTCTTTTACTTTTAAAACTTAAAACCAAGCGAAATCACACCGAGATGATTTGAGAAGCACAGTGCATGGCCAGTCAGCAAAATTAATCCCATATTTGGTTGTTTGCAAGATTTGTTCTATCAGGGTGGATGAGCATTAATCGGTTGAAGTAGGAAACGCATTTGGAGCCAACGTTAGGTTTTTTTTTAAATCAGTTGGAGAAGAGGCCAATTGAGTTAATTATATGAATGTGCTACAACTAAAAGTGACTCAGCCGATGCATGTAGATGCACATAAATGTCTACCAAGTTTCACTACTCAATGCAGCCTCTGAGGTCTAGAACAGAATGACCAGCTGGACCTTTGCTAGCTACTGCTCCTTGGTGTTACTCATGTAAAATGGATAAGGTATGGTTGGTTGCTCCTCTGCTTCAACAGACCCTTGTAACTGACTGAGGAACATGTTTTTTGCAGGAAATATTTTCTAAGGCTAAACCACAGTGGATGTGGTGTGAGACAGCAAGTTACCAAGGCATATGTGGTGCAGCTACTTTACCATATGAATGCTGGTTTGTCCTTCCTCTGTGGTGTTTCCATAGAAGCGGAGCTTAACCTTTTACGTGAAGATTATTAAAGCACCTAATTCAATTAAAATTAGACTTCAAGCATATCAGTACTTACTGCTCAAGAGTTATTATGAGATTTGATATCGCCATTGTTCCGATTGGCAGGCAGAATAGTTCAAATCTCAAGCAGTCGGGAAAATCTTTTTGTTGGGGTAACTTACAGCAGAACCCCCCCCAAAAAAAAACCTTGTGAAAGAGAAGTGGCATTTGCATAGGAGTGTTAGAATATGAATTAGAACCTTTTTGTTAACAGGTAACCCTATCTGAAATAGGCGTCAAGTACACAACACAGAAATACGCAGGGTCAATTAATGTTATTTATTGTGGGTTTTTCTTTTCTGAACTGACAAAGAGGGTTTCCCAGAGATCCGTAACACGACACAATGTTATACACCATTTCACAACTAGTCCCTTGTTGTTTTATTAAGAACATAGTCATTTAAAAATATCTAAATATTTACATATTAATAAAACATATATACAGAAGATTGAGACGTTTTACCTAAATATGGAATGATTTTTCTCTCTAATAAACCCTATAAAAAAGATTTCCGAAGAAAGTCTGAACAGTAGTCACAGTAAGTAAACACAAATGCAATCTCAAAATTTACAAAATGCTGATTCTGCCGTGTTAGCATTCTGCTCTGGACTGGACCAACTCGCCGCATGGACCTTGCGGCTCCCTGCCACCCTCCTTGGAGCACAGGGATTACAAGGCATAGGGGAAGCGGCCACACCAGCCTTTGAAGGAAATGCTCTTTTAAGGTCTGCAGTGCACATTCAATATATTCCACAGTTTTACAGAGAACATTGTTGCCTTTAACAATACATTTTTAAATAGGCAGGGAATGCTTGACGGTCTCATTTTCAAAAGGTGCCGAGAGAACCTGCAGCTCCTGAAGGCTTCAGTGTTATTTGTGGGCATTCAGGATGTCTGACGCTCAGGCCTGTTTGTCAATGAATGTTCAGAAGAAATAGTTCCTTGAGAGAAGCCGCCAAAAAGACTTAAAATATTTTGGAAAAAAAAAAATTCCCACTTCCTGTAATAGCACTTTAGTTAAAAACACCCATAAAAAGGCCAAATGGTTTCAAGGAGAAAGCTTCATGATAGGCCTCAAATATATGAAGGAAAAGAAAATAGTAGCAAAAGCTTCAGCAATCTGTCTGCTGAGTTCCAGGAAATGCATTGTCTTAGTTAATTGGCCAGGGATCAATATATTCTGCCAGGTAAGAGCCTTCCTATAGTTTTCCCCCTATCTTTTTTAAAGTGAATTTAGTGCTAGTGAAAGATGGAGAGTTATAGGCTGCCCTGAGGGCGACATGAGCTATTGCCTCCTCCCTCACCTGAAGGAACCACTTCTCTCTCTGAGAGGGTAGTTCAATCTCTGGCTTGATTCACTCATCCTAACTGCTGAGACTGTCAACAGAGTGCCAATCTGGATGGAGGTTTTCGTAGGTGGCCTCTGGTCTGCAAGAGCTGTGGTTCTCAAACCATGGTCTGTGACCCAGCAGAGGGTGGTGGTCCCTGTCCTGGTGGTCTGCAAAATAAAACATTTTGAGATCCTTACAGTGAGGGATTTGGAGAGGCTGGGGGAAGGTGGAGAGAGAAGGGTCTTCTGAAATAGTCTGCAAAATGAAAACGCTTGGCAAGCTGCCTCACTCGGATCTGGGCTTGGGAGTGTCACAAATGCCTTGTAAATATCACCACAGTAGGAAATGGACGTTATCAGCTTGCACTCTGCTTTCACCTCCACGTGGCTACATTCATTAAGTGCCTCCTATGCTAGACGGTATACGACTGGAAGTTTTTACCATTTTTCTTCAGAGAAATAGCACTCAAAATTGAAAAGTGGGTCTTCAGAACCAAAAGGACTAACCAATTTGCCTAACCAAGCATTTCTATTAGCTTTCTTGACCCATGAAGAAGAGAGATGCCATCATAACTCCCTTGGGTGGGAAGAGAGTCATCCATCTGTGTTCTTTAGCTTCTGTATAATTTAAGATGAAATATGCTCAGCATGCATACAATCATGGAGGAAAATCAAAGGCAAGGGAATTCATCCAGCAGCAGTGGATACCACACTAGTTAGGAAATATACTTGATACTGAGCAACTCATTTCTAGTTAAGATGCAAAAAAATTAAAAAAAAAAAAAATCTTGAAACAATTTGGTGCCTTTATTGTTCCATGTCACGTAGCAAGTATGTGAAACAACTCGGACTTGAAGAGAGAACAGCACAGGACATCCACACCTCGCAGCAGACTGAAACGCTCACACCAATCTTGCAGGAACGCCATTCAAACTGAAGGATGTTTGTGTCTGCTAATGAAACACTGACGTAGGAAGTAAAATTTAAGCAGAAAAGTCTGCTTTTGTGTCTACCAGGTTATCTGTTGGGGTCTCAAAAATGTTACCTGAAGAAAGAGAGGATTAAAAGAAATTAGAGGGCGGGGGAGAAAAAAAGAACCAACGGAATTAGTTCAGTCATTTCCCAAAATTGTGTTAGAAATTAATCTAGTTGAGTTAGGAGTTAAAGGCTCAAACACATTATCTATGGGGCTGGAAAAGTGCTGGTGTGCATGTTTAGGTGGCCATTGTTGGGTATCACTTAGAGCAGTTTAGTTGTCTAAAAAGCAAATAAAAAGAGCCTATTATATAGAGAGTTTTTGAATAAAGGTCTGGATAGCAAAATGCAGAACACATGAATTCAGAGGCAAACAGCTGCATTAGAATATCGTACAAACTGCACTACAATGCTTGCTGCTTTGAAGTTACACAGTTCTAAAGAGGGGAACAAAGCACCGCATGAATTTTAAGCCTACAATATGTACTTTGGGCCGTCCTTTGGAAAACTTGAAAAATCCCGTTACTCTAAATGCATATATGGCAGAATAAAAACCAAAGATAAGTTGTACGATTATATCCCATCTTTTTTTAAACCACTTTAAGAATTTTTTTCCCCAAACAGAACAATGGAAGATGGACAGAAGAATTACAACTATAGAAGTAAGAACACAGGGCACACAGAAGACAGACATCAATCAGTGTAAGAGGCAAATACAACCAGATGAAAAGGGAAGACTAGTACAATCATGCACTGAAAGGATAAAGATTTATATTACAATAAAGGATTTATATTTAAGGTTTGGAAGAGGGGGTTTTTTTTTTTTTTAGGTATCATTTTCTTCGTATTGTATTCGGAAAGAAAAGGAGGCAACCCATATAGAATTGGCATATTGCTGTTTCCTTATCATCTGTTTCTTTACCAAGAGGAGATTGTTCTCATCTTTTCACAAAGCCGTATCACTCCAGGACCCATGGACTGGGATTTTGCTGTTCTGTTCCCCTTAGTGGTCTCAAATTCTTTCACATCCTAAAATTCACCCTACTTTGAGGAGCTATGCAAACACTTCAGCACTGCTTAAGCCCAAAACCCAGGGCTCAGGGTTTAAGGAAGACCCTCTAGTGGTCCTGTCTTGTATACATCCTTAGCATGTAATATTTAAGCTGAAGATACACAAATTCTGCTTATGGGACTGGAATGAATTTGTTTCTGCATTGGGTGTACCAGGAAAAGGCTTTATTCTTCACAAAATCCAGCTGTTCAATGTAAACTGTATGCCAAGGTGAGAAGCCTTCCGTCATGACTGCCATTTCCCCCAAGTACTAAAAAAAAAGTCTGAAGGAGAGCCACATCCACTTAGCTCAGTGTTTAACCAGCATCTCTGAATCTTCTGAGTCTAATCAGTGTCACTGAAATACAGTACCAACCACCGCAACTGGCTGCTCCACACTAATTAGCTGGGGCTGCTAGTCCTTTCTCACTATAGGTCTAGCTAGTATGAGTTTTTGCAAAGCCTAAGATAGATGGTTGCTTGAGTATTTTCTCTGGGACTTTAATGGACAAAGTTTGAAATAACAGCAAAATTTTGATCGGTTTAATTTCAACAGATGCAATTCTTCCAGCTCAGTTTAATGGCCCCATAACTAATTACATTTTATAAACCCAAAGAGCATAATTAACATCAAAGTGGCTTTCAAGCTGTGGCATGGGTCTGCGCTCTTAAACAGTGAAACAGCAGAATATTCATTTTCTTGGTTTCAGGATTTAAACTTAATGAAAACAATAAAATCTCTGGATGCTGCCTTAGTGGTACAGAGTCCAGGATCAGTCATGGCCCGCAGCTGTCTGTGTACTGAAATTCCTCACTCTGCATCCCCAAAATAACCAGATTTCTGCTATAGATACGTTATTGGATAACATATAATCTCTATATCGCTATCTCTATATATATTGATAGAGATATATAGCTATATAGATAAATCTATCTATCCATCTATATATATGTTGCTAGGCACACAGAATGACTTGAGAGAGATTTGTCTTTACAGACACATTAAAGATATCGGAGATTTCCATTTTTACAATAACACTTTCCATTAGTTGACCATTGTTCTGGACTTGTATGTGTTTTAACTTGGTTCAATTCTTGAATACCAAAGTTACACGCACACTCTATATACACACCATAAAGAAACCAAGCAGCACTCCATCTTTGTTTCCCATGACAGCTCCTGCAAAACTCCCTTCAGGGAATCCCAATCGACATGGCCAAAGGTTTTTTCCTACATTAAGGAGCACTTACATATTAGTGTTGTCATTGTTTTGGATTTACTATTTGTCTTAAGAGAACTCCTAGAGATCCCAAAAGAGACCAAGACCCCAATGTACCAGGGACCCCACTGTAGTAGGAGAGAGATTCTTTCCTAATGCTCTTGCAATCTAAAAAGGGACAAGATTACACCAAAGTCTCTTCTTGAATGATCTGCCACTTACATCCTTGAGTGAAACCAGTCATGGGAAGAAGAGATCTAATCCGTAGGTAAAGACTGTTGTAAAAGTTATTTTTCATCTGCCTTAAAAGAATCCCTGATGGAAGACATCTGTGTTTTGGCTCTTTTCTATAAAACTGCTGTCATTACACTGCCTGTATATCACTTAAAAATTATTTGCTCCAAAGAATTGTGTAATATTAGCTATCAGTACATTCTATAAAGGGGTGCCTGTATGTACATAACAATGGGTGTGAATCAAATGCTTGGCTTAATGTCTGGGCAGTTCATTTCCCCCCTCAAAACTGAACAATAAAATGAATATTGAATGTTTTTACCTCCTCATCCTTTCAAAGGCAACAGGGTGAAATATACACCACAAGATGAATAGTAAAACTGAGAAATGTGTGCATGCATATGTTGAACGGTGCATGCACACATCCAAAAACATGGGCTAGAAGGTTTATATAAAAGAGGAGAGGACTCCCCAGCCAGACGTGCCATCTCCTCACATCATATTCATTTTTAGCAAGACCATCAAGTGAGAAGTAGACACTAATGCAATAACTCTGGGCCTGACTACAAATCCAAGAACGATGATAACACTGCATGACATTACCAACATTTATTAGGGTTCCCTCATCACCAGAATTGCTTCCATCCCTGATAAAGGCAACAAACAGGATGTCACTTGGAAGAGACCTCTGAGTCCAGAGTTTCCTGCATCTATCATTACGATAGCACCACGAAACATTCAGCTGCTTGCCAAAAAAACAGCACAGCAACTCCTGTCACAGTTTGTTCCCAGCCCCCACTGGGCCAAAGCCAGAACAAGACTGTAGCTGCCTGTCCTTGCAACTGCTTCCCTGGTCCTACTCCTTAGTAACTGCACGTGCTCCAACATCAAGATTTCAATCAACACGGCTCCACCGCTGTCAGCTGGTGCACCAATCCGTAACATTACAGCAACGATGACACATGAAGTCCCTTTTGTAAGAGGGGCTGAGAGGATATGGGACAAATGCCACTCTCATGACCACTGAGCATGTGAGGGTGCCACCGCAGTACCATGGGGAGTTGCAGCCACAGTACTGCCGAGTTGTCATATACAGGCTACCAGTCAATGGCCCATACTTGGTCCACAACTGTTTTACATATAATCTCTAATTAATCCTTTAATTCAGTAACATTCATTATATTGGATTGGTCCGAGGGGAAAAAAATCATCAACCCAAAAGCCTGAGTATTTGATGATTCAAGATTTCCCTTCACTTTTCTTGGCTCTAGCAATATTAAGCTACATCGTGGTAAAATTCTAAGTCGTAAATAAATCATGAGCAGGGATCTGGATTTTTTGTTTGCTGCAGCAAAATGCAGATTTTGTCTTTTAAAGGAGAAAAACCTGGGAAACCGCGGGTTTCTCTTTGCAGGCTGCCACAGTTCCAGCCTGCAAGGGGCTGCCTGGGGCTGGGGGGAGCAGGATGCAGGGGGCGCCACGTGAATATGCACACACATACATGCACGTGGCAGCCACGCAGCAGGGTGATCAGCTCCCTTGGCTCCCTCCAGGTAAGTCTATGGTGAGGGGACCCACAGATGCATATACCCCACCACAGATTTCTGCACCCACTACAGGGCATGGGGCTGCAGCCTGGCTGGACCAGCTCCAGGCAGGAGCTGCCTTTGCAGCCCAGTGGGTGGGACCCAGAACAAGAGAGAACGCTGGGCTGCCATGGTCAGGCACCCCCTGCCCCCCTGGCAGCAGCGGGGGCACAACTCTGCACTGCTGCCATGCCTCACTTCAGTGGCTACAGCAGCATGGCACTCCCTCCTGCACCATGTCTTATCCATTGGGCCAGCCACGCTACAGACCCATGCCCTACCGCAGGCACAGAAATCTAGGGAGGCACATGTACCCCCCTGACATGTCGGTCAGCAGCGAAGGGCACCAGCAGGGCCAGGGGGCTGCAGGTTGGGAGTGAGGGGCTCCAACAGAGCTGGAGAGGGCGGGGGAGAGAATTTTGGATTTTTAAACAGAGAAAACCAGGACTCCTGACCATGACATGTGTAGTCAAGAATTAACAGGGAAAAAAAAAAAGCTAGGGATGTTGGATGCCCAAATAATGAGATCCCAAACTGAACAGAATGGCCACGTTTTCAGGGGACTGGTGGCTCAGTGCTGTCTAGCAATCTGGCTCTTGCAACACAGTTCAAGTTTTACCTTCAAAATCATGAGAAAATCTTGGCCTACTTACTTGCATTTCAGCATATGGAAATCACCTTCATTTTCTAGCCTAAATCCTGGTATCTCATTGCTGTTTGCCATTAAAGAACTGTTACGCTTTGAGTTGGGGGAGGCTGAGTTTCCTCAAGGAGAGGGGTAAAGCAATCTTTACATATCAGATAAAGGGCTTTGCAATCCTTTTGTAAACCCAAGATATGCTAGTTGATAGTACACCTACGCACAATTGAAAAAAAAAAAAAAGTACAATGCAAATTGCTATGCCTGTCCTTGCAACTAATTGTGTGAAGCATATTGACAATGCACAGAAAATACTGTGTATGAGCACAAGTCTCTATCTGGAGTCAGACAGGTCACCCTCTGGCCTGCCTAGCTCAGCTGTTACTCTGAAAACTGAGGTTTTATGAATATGAAATACAGAGAAAAATTGTGAGATTCTGGGACATGGTATATCTAATGTGAAAATTATCTTTTTTTTTCCCTCTGAGTGTATGTAGGGCATTCAAAACTCAGCTAGCTGGGCCCAGCATGCAATTACCACACAGTGTATGCCATACCAGGATTATTGAAAATGGCTTCTGTGCCATAAATAAATAAATAAAAATATTGCAAGCTGATAAAAATTTTAATGCATTTTACCTGTTTGTAGTAGAGAAATGTCCGGTTTCTCATCACAGTCAGTTGCCTCAGCTGATTACAAATATAAGCAAGAAATCTCATTATTTTTGCTGAATATTGGAATACGATTAAAAAGTGCATTGTAAAATGATTTTGCATTTTCTATCTACTTTCCTCAGTGGCAATTTGCTGGCATCGAGTTAAATAGTTACTGTTTGAAGAAAAAGGTCATATAATAAAAATGCAAACTTAGGGAAGGGAGTTTGGGTATTAATATGTAGTGGTGTCGGGCAATACACTACTCCCCTGGAAAACCCAGAAAGTCCTGCTGATACAGGAAGCTGACAATCAAGTTGTAAATTTGACATAAGAAATGCCATTTATCAGCTCCAATACAGAGTTACAAATACCGTAATACATCTAAAGGCGCAGGGGTAAGCAGTTAGAGGGATTTACAAAAGCACCAGCCTTGAATAAAGCATCTAATGGCTATTAGGTGCACGATTCACTCAAATGCTCACTTATCTATACCTTTAGGCACCTTAAAGACCAGATTTAAGGCGGCATTTAGGTGCTGAAACATGCATTCAGACACCTCATGGGATTTTCAAAAGCACCCAAGTGAGTTAGGAAACAACCTAACTCTTGTTAGATGCCTAACTCACTGCTCTCATAAATCTCACTAGGTGCTCAGCTGCATCTTTGGGTACTTAAATATATTTCTAAATCTGACTCTTAGCAGTTGGTTTATGTCCCAAAGCATGAAGATTAAGAAGGTTGATTGAAATCTCACTACTGTCAATAACTTTTTCCAGTAACAGCAGCAGTGTATTTTTATTCCATCTAATGTACCTATGGATGATCTTGTTATCTCTATAATCCCTAAATCTTACTTGAACCTGTCTAAGATTTTAGCATCTATTGGAAATAAGTGTCACAGTAACAATGTGTTGTAGGAAAAAAACTAGTTTCTTTTATCAGCATTGCATTTGTTGCCTTTCAGATTCAGTGAACACTTCCTTGTTGAGGCAAGAGAGATAGTTAGCCATGTTACAGTCCACTTCAGAGCACCTGAGGAAGTAGGCTGCTGCCTGCAAAACCTTGTGACTCTCCGAACCAGTTAATCTCTAAGGTGCCACCCTGCTCTGCCTTCTGTCTTATTATTAGGAAGCAAATAAGAGCTTCAAATTACCTTCTTTGTGCTATTATGCTGCATGCCATCCCTTATTTTATTTTATATGTACATATACATTTTGTTTATATATAAGCCAATATACATCAGTGTATTATATGCATCTAAAATATAAACATTTTACTTTTATAAACATACATTATACTTTTTTATTTATATTTAGAGACTATCATGATCATAAAGGAACAGAAAATTCCCATTAGGTTGGGCCCTGACTTTGTAGGCAAAGCAATATGGACTGGGAAACTGAATTCAGCTAATGCTTTTAATTGGGCCCCTTGCGTTGATCACCTTTCTCAGGGCCCCGAGTGCAGGGATTTCTCGCTGTTGTGTGTGTAAGCCGACTCTCCTGTCCCACTTCTTGTCAGAATGTGGAGCTCCAGAGCAGAAACAAATGGTGCTCAGTCAAAACAGTTCAGCTGAGAAAAAGTCCTATCATTTGGGAGGCAGGGATGACTCAATACATGGGTAATAGGATACGCAGCTTTTTATCTCTAGGCTACTAGTTCAAATCCAGGCTCAACTGGCAGTAATGGAAAGTCATTACTACTTGGTGAGCGAGGTAGGAGATAAAGCTGTGAAATGAATAGGTTCATGGAAACCCTGGTGACAAACCTGGCTGGTATAATAATCCAGCCCAGTTCCTAGGGGACAAGTGCCCAGGTTACAAACAAAATAAGGAGCACATTTCCTGAGTGGTATCTTTGCTGGAAGTCTCGGCGATGACACTTGCACCAACAACTGAGATTAGCAGACCCTTTCATTCTCTACTCGTGGACACCCCAAGCTGAAACCAATGCCAACTGTAGGATGGGAGGGCAGAGGGAAATGGACAGTACCACTGCTGTACACATTTGGTAGCCAAAGAAAGGACTTGAATCTCCAGTTACCAAGGTCATTAAGTATTACTTTTCATAGATACATATATTGTAAGGGGCTGGAAGGGACCTCGCAAGATCATTGGGTCCAGCTCCCTGCACCAGGCAGGAAAGACAACTGGGGTCTGGTGACCCCAGCAAGATGACCATCCAGTCTCCTCTTGAGGGTAGGTGATTGCACCACCTCTGGAGGGAGCTTATTCCAGTTTGGATATCCTGGCTGAAGAAGTTTTTCCTAACGTTAAGCCTGAAATGGTCTTCCAGGACTTCGTGGCCATTACTCCTGGTTTTCCTCAAGGGTGCCCTGGTGAACCGTTGTTTGCCGAGCCCTTGATGTAGTCCCCTGATATAGCGGTAAGCTGCTACCAGGTCCCCTCTCAGCCCTCTCTTTTCCAGGCTGAAGAGTCCCAAGTCCCTCAGCCTTTCCTTGTATGGCTTGCCATGCAAGTCTCTGATCATACGGGTGGCCCTTCTCTGTCTTTTTAAAATCAGGACCCTCTCAGAATTGCCCCAAGATGGCAGATTTCAGTGGAGTCCATAGACGATGTCTCAGATCATCTAAGTCGGGGCTGCATATCCAGCCAAGGTCAAGCTCACAAACTACAAGACGCCCAGACCGTCCGTACGATGAGGCAGCTCATCATCTTTCCACATTCCATTCCAGACAGGAAAGCATGGTCTGCCTCCAATGACGCGCCCATATGACTGTCGGCCAAATCTAACTTGTCTTGACTTCAATGGGCCAACTTGCATGACAAGACTAGCAAGAATCATTTCTATTGTGGGAATTCTGAAGCTCTTTTGTATCCTCTGCTTAGAAAGTATTTGGCAACTCTTGTAAACAGTCCTCCAGCCATTTCCTTCAGACTTTTTCCGTTCGAGCTCACTTTACTTCTTCTCAACAGGCATACTTGGTAAATGTGCAGCTTCTGTTTTGCTGCTTGGACAGAACCACATGTGCACGCAGAGCTGGAGACGTCAGTAGAGAATCCATTTTTGTGCTGCTCTCTCTGTTTCCCTTAAATCAAGGCGAGATGCTGCCCAGAAACAATATGCTCCTGGTCCTCCCATCCCATGCGCTATCTTACCTTCTGCTGCTAACACACTAATCTGAATCTGCTCTCTTGCAAGACACAGCTGCCTTGCGCATGAATTACTCTATGAAGAAAGGACTGTGGAAATTAGAGGGCTAAGGAAGAGGACTAAAATGCACAGAAACAGAAGGGGGAAAACACCCCAAGAAACAAAGAGAAGATGGGGTGAAGGGTGAAGGATGGAGTAATTTCAACACTAGGGCGGGAGCAAAGGAACATTCCAGGAAGGATTTAGGAGATTTTCTCTCCCCACCCTCAGTATTTTCCATTATAATGAGATGTTTATTTTAAACAATGGTACAATGATGCAACAACTCTCATCCTGTCACACGACTACTAAAAGCCAATCGGATCTGAAAAGCTGGAGCACAATTCATAGGACTGCTGTATTTTCCTTGATTATGCATGGCATTCAAATGCTTTCAAGTTATGTACAGCATAATCAGTTGTCATGAAGAGCTTACTCCCTTTGTGCTTTTGAAGCGGTAGTCAGACTGTACCTGCATCCCTACCCTGGCCTTAAGCAACAAGCTGCCACTCAAGAACCAGGGCTCGCTTCTTCAAGGCATGAAAAGGAAAAGAGGGCTTTTTAGTGCTTGAATTATTCGTGGCACCTGCCCCAAGATATATTATGGGAAATGAAGTGGAATATTTAGAAGGAGAACAGTTTGGCTACAGAGATGATGGCAACAGCTAATATCTTGTTGAGATTAGCCCTCTTTTGATCCATATGCCAGTGGCTGGTCTCTATCAGATACCTACTCAGATTCATCTTTGTAGCATAGAGAAACCTCACCGTGGGGAGTTGTTCCTATTCAGAGCAGCAGTAGATTACAATACAATGGACAGGGCTATTGATACTGCTCGAATAGGGGAGCATACGATGCATTTGCTTTTCCCTCAACTTCATTTCCCTCTTTCCTTGGCCACACAGCAGCTGTGGTCTCAGCTAATGCATTTTGGAGAAGACAGAGTTGGCAATGGGATGCTGTGTCCCAGAGCACCCAGCACACATGGGTTTGGCTTTTTTTGTGGCTGTCCTGATTATGTGGCCTGGGACCAATTGCTAAGGCTGAAGACTATCATCATTCTATTTAATTTTAATTATAACATCTGTTTGTAACGTTAACCTCACAGGCCTTCTTCCCTTTGTGACAGCCAACTTGTGAAATTTTGAAAGACTGAACAAGGCCAATAAAAATTTAATGGTAGTGACAGCTTTATTCTCAGATCTAACAAATGAAAACAAAAAACAAACCCCAAGTCTCAGATCTAAGGCAATAATCTAAAATGAACTGAGAAAAAACCAAAAGTGTAATAAAAATATTTCTAGTTAGGAAGAAATATTGTAGCTGCTACAAAACAAGTGCAATTCTATTTGGATTAGGATAACAACCTTTCAAAACCAACACAGGGGAATGATTTTCTAGATAGCAGGGTTTGTTTTTTTTAAAAGGGGGGTTGTTGATTAGCTTTTCCCATCAGAGGCTGCTCTGTACCTCATTCTAGGAGATGAGCCAAATATGATAAATAAGGTGGCAGCTGGACAGCATCTACGATCTACTGATCATAATATTTAATTTGCAAATACACACTAGGGTAAGGACTAAAGAAAGCAGCACAAAAAGCAGATCCGCCCAATCCATTTGCTGGAATTTTTGGAAACTGGGACTACTACAGAAGATTAGGGGAATACAGTTGGGTTTACATCATTAGACTATCAAATAATGTTTTGGAGGATTCACTGCAGAAGCTTACTTGTGAACGTAGCCTATCACTGTGTGGACATAGCTGTCTACCCTGGTTTGAAAAAGCCAGAAAGGAGGTAGACTCAACAACTCAAGGGGTTACTAGCAGAATCTAGTGCCATATTATATATGTACACACACACATTGACAATTGACAATC